GAGAAGGAGAGAGGGGGAAGGGAGGAAGGAAGGAGAAGCGGGAGAGAGGGAGGAGAAGGAAGGAGAAGCAGGAGAGAGGGAGGGGAGGAAGGAAGGGAAGCAGGAGAGAGGGAGGGGAGGAAGGAAGGAGAAGCAGGAGAGAGAGAGGGGAGGAAGAAGGGAGAATCAAGAGAGAGAGAGGGACGGTGGGGAGTTGAATGGAAGAAAGGTAGAGAAAGGGCGGAGAATGAAAAAGAGAGAGGAGGCGGGGGAGGAGGAAGAAAGAAAGATGGAGAGGGAGGGAAAGGGGAGACAGAGAAGCAAGGAATACGGATGTAGGGTAATAGCTGGAAGGCAAGTGACAGGAATGGGAGGAAATGAAAGAAGAGGAATAAGAGGAGGGAGGAGAAGGAGAAGGATATACTGCTCGGTGACGCTCTGAAAAAATAGTCTCTTTTTCTTTAGGAAAATGACAACCTCCGTAAATGGATCTCTGTACTACGTTACGAGTTGAAGCTTTCGTAAACATTAATTGAATCCAAAACACAATTTATCCACGAAGCGAAAGGCAAATAGGAGCTTTTATCACGTGAGTAAAATATGCAAACGATTCGGCTAGAAATAAAACGTGCACTTGCGGAATAAAAATGGAAATAGAATTAGCAATAATTGGATATGATTAATTCTAAGCACAAGGATATTGTGGCCGATTTTCCAATTCCTACAAACATGATGTGCTGCTGTTGTTTCCTTCTCTCGTTCTGTTTCATTCCCGCAATTTGTAATATTTTAGGTCACTTAGATTATATTCCTATTGATGTGTATATCTAAAAGGAACACTCTCTCTCTCTCTCTCTCTCTCTCTCTCTCTCTCTCTCTCTCTCTCTCTCTCTCTCTCTCTCTCTCTCTCTCTCTCTCTCTCTCTCTCTCTCTCTCTCTCTCTCTCTCTCTCTTCTCTCTCTCTCTCTCTCTCTCTCTCTCTCTCTCTCTCTTCTCTTTCTCTCTCTCTCTCTCTCTCTCTCTCTCTCTCTCTCTCTCTTCTCTCTCTCTCTCTCTCTCTCTCTCTCTCTCGCTATATATATATATATATATATATATATATATATATATATATATATATATATATATATATATATATATATATATATATATATATATATATATATATTATATATATTATATATATATATATATATATATATATATATATGTATGTATGTATGTATGTGTGTGTGTGTGTGTGTGTATCTATCTGTCTATCTATATCTATCTATATATCTCTATCTATCTATCTATATCTATCTATCTATCTATATATATATATATATATATATATATATATATATATACATATATATAAGAGACGTGTACTAATATGAATATTTCAAAGAAACCCATATCAACATATATATAGAAATATATTACTCTTTCTCTGACATTCTAGACGAAATATTCAAAGATATTTTTTTCCATTGATGGCAATGTGTTTTTTTTAGTTTATCATTAAAGGCACAAAACTCAAAAAAAGACTGAAACTGGATTTGCAATGATTATTTGCATGACAGGAAAATACTAATTCACGAGGGAGCCATTGCACTTCCTCTGCAACATTAGCGGTTTTGCAAAATGGATTCGCTCTATTGATAGAGTGCAGAGTCAACGGTTTATCCCAATAGGTTGTGTTCGTATTAATAAATCGTCAATAGGTATTTTTTTTTTTTTTTAGGGAGGGAGGGGGTAAAGGGGGGGGTTGGATTAAATGATACCGTAGCAGGTGGATTTGATTTGATAGCGAAATTCTTCAGTCTTTTGATTTGATTTTGATCCTCACATTCATAGTAAAAAAAATAAGGACACATTCCATCACACACACACACACACACACACAGATATATATATATATATATATATATATATATATATATATATATATATATATATATATATATTATATATATATATATATATATATATATATATATATATATATATATATATATATATATATATATATATATATATATATATATATAACTTTAACATTCTAGCTATCAATCTTTTTACTTGTCTCTCCATTTATGTCTATCTATATTCAAAATATCTCTCTTTCTATTTATCTATCTATCTCGTTACCTATCTATTTACCTATCTACCTATCTAATTATCTCGTTGTCTATCAATCTCGTTATCTATCTATCTATCTATCCATTATCGATCTGCCAATCTATACATGAAAAGGCCGTAACAATATATTCATACTTATTCTAAGCAAGATTAGAGTAAATGAATATGATCTGACGAGTTGCAGTTAAATATCAATTTAAATTTAAATATCTAATTGATAATCGAATTTAGATTGTCCGTTATTCAAATTCAGATAACAACAACAACAAATGGATATTTGAATTCTTACTTTACTTAAAAGAATTACCAATAACAACATATTTTCCGGTGATAATCAGTGATAAAGAAATAATGTTACGGTAAGTTTGTTTCTAAGTGCACTTTTAATCCTTTAAGTAGTGGGTAAGTATGGATTACACTGAATATTCGTCTTAGTCGGAGGGTCACGTGACTACAACGAATATGAAACAAGATGAAAAAAATAACGAAGCGAATTCCTTTAATCTTTAAGGGAATCAATGCCAGACGATAACGAATAACGAAAAAAATAGCAATGCAACGATTATCTGCATACCAAAAAATGACTAAATTCATTACTATTATTCATTCCTACAAAGCTTTAAAAAAAAAAATGGTCACTGAATCAGCAAATTCGATATCAAATTCAGATGCAATCGTGACGTCATCACTTCGATTCAGCGGCAGAAAAAGACGAACACAGATACGGAGAATTTCCAAACGTGAACGCAACGTATTGAAATATAGCGTTCACTACGAGTTCCGACATCGAGTTGGAACCGTTTTTCAGACTCGAGGCGCCGGTGTTAGTAGTAGCTGTAATTGTTATTATCATTGTTATTATTATTACTATTACTATTATTACTATTGTTATTATTATCATTACTATTATTACTATTGTTATTATTATTATTACTATTATTACCATTGTTATTATTATCATTACCATTGTTATTGTTATTATTACTATCATTACCATTGTTATTGTTATTATTACTATCATTACCATTGTTTATGTTATTATTACTGATTACCATTGTTATTTATTATTACTATCATTACCATTGTTATTATTATAATTTTCATTATTCCTATTTTATCACCATTGTTATTGTTATTATTACTAGCATTACCATTGTTGTTATTATTATCATTACTATTCTATTACCATTGTTATTGTTATTATTACTATCATTACCATTGTATTACTATATTACTATTATTACCATTGTTATCATTATCATTACTATTATTACCATTATCATTACCGTGTGTGAACGCAAACGCGCAGGAAAGGAATAAACATCATTTTTTAAGCATAAGGAAGGGAATGAATACTCACTCACTACGATGGGAATTAAGACAATTGATATAGATATAATATGCCATTTATTCAAAATATTTGTCTTCTAAGATTGGTTTAATCAAATCGAAGTCATTTCAACTTGAGTCACACTAAACACTTAAAGCCTCTTCTGCCTTATTCATCATCGTCATCGGCCTCTGGCACAGCGTGGCGTCGAGGCGTCGGGCCAGGAGGACCCCCGAGGACTCCCCGAGGACCCCCGAAGGACTCCCCGAAGGACTCCTGGCGCAGCAGGACCGGGCCGAGGAGGGGACGGCGCTTGAGGAACAACTCCAGGATTCGCCGCCAGGGCCAACTCGAGGCCGAAGTGCAGTTCCAAGTTCTCGTAGGAATCGTCGGGAATGTAATTAGTGGGAATCGCTGCGGCGATTCCCACGCTCAGAGCTGCCAGGACAAGCCACCTCATGACGCCCATGACAGAAATGACAGTCGCTCTTGACGAGAGGTTGACAGGATCAGCTCCTATTTGTGCCGCGACGGAGGATCACTCGGGGTCCCAGGTCCTGCTCCCGGCCATTCCTGGATTCCCATTCCTGGATTCCCATTCCCGTTTCGCGCGAAGGAATTGGGATCCAGGGACTATTCTTGCTGACTCATGTTTCAATTGGCCTCATAAAGCAATGACTAAGCATATATCATGACTGTCCCTTCTTCCCTTTCTCAATCAGCTTTCGAAAGCAATAACCAACATTTTTTTGCATTGAATTTCAGGAGGATTGAAAAAGTAGAAAAATCAGCAATATATAAGCACCAGGAAGCAGATCAGAAAGGGTACTCTCTCTCTCTCTCTCTCTCTCTCTCTCTCTCTCTCTATCTATCTATCTATCTATCTACCTTTCTCAGTATCAGGATGAGGCTGCTTGATGAGAGAGGGCGGGAGAGGGGGGGGAAGGAAAGAGGGAAAGAAAGAACGACAAAGACAGACAGGGAGACAGACATTTATCTTCCTATATATGAACAAAAAACCATCAATTTTCATCCAGATATTTTCCAGAATCAACTAGACCGCCATGAGGAACGACACAAACCATGTCCGTTTTAACTTTGTATTTCCTCAAAACCTCTTCCAGATCGGAGACAAATCGGTTCACGAAAATGAAGACACTTGCAGTCCTTGCAAATGTTGCAATAGTTTTCCTTTATCTTTATGTGTATATTTTTTATTCTATTTGAAAGAGTGAAACTAACAATTTTCACATTTATTCAGCACTTGAGTAAATCAAAGATGTTTCAAAGATATTCTTACAGTTCGGAAACGGTAAGGAAACAAACTCACTTCTTAATATTTAACCTTTTACTAAAAATTGGGTGTTTTGGAATTTGGATGTCATAAAATAAATCTACTCTACTTGCTATTATTACCATTATCATTACCGTGTGTGTACACAAACGCGCAGGAAAGGAATAAACATCTATATCTGCTTAAGCATAAGGAAGGGAATGAATACTCACTCACTACGATGGGAATTAAGACATACAATTGATATAGATATATTGCCATTTATTCAAAATACTTGTCTTCTAAAATATAAGAAAGTTTAATCAAACCGAAGTCGTCATTTCAACTAACTAAACACTTAAAGCCTCTTCTGCCTTATTCATCATCGTCATCAGCCTCTGGCACAGCGTGGCGTCGAGGCGTCGGGCCAGGAGGACCCCCGAAGGACTCCCGAAGGACTCCCCGAAGGACTCTTGGCGCAGCGCAGGACCGGGCCGAGGAGGGGACGGCGCTTGAGGAGCAACTCCAGGATTCGCCGCCAGGGCCAACTCGAGGCCGAAGTGCAGTTCCAAGTTCTCGTAGGAATCGTCGGGAATGTGATTCGTGGGAATCGCTGCGGCGATTCCCACGCTCAGAGCTGCCAGGACAAGCCACCTCATGACGCCCATGACAGAAGTGACAGTCGCTCTTGACGAGAGGTTGACAGGATCAGCTCCTATTTGTGCCGCGACGGAGGATCACTCGGGGTCCCAGGTCCTGCTCCCGGCCATTCCTGGATTCCCATTCCCGTTTCGCGCGAAGGAATTGGGATCCAGGGACTATTCTTGCTGACTCATGTTTCAATTGGCCTCATCAAGCAATGACTAAGCATATTTTATGACTGTCCCTTCTTCCCTTTCTCAATCAGTTCTCGAAAGCAATAACCAACATTTTTTGCACTGAATTTCAGGAGGATTGAAAAAGTAGAAAAATCAGCAATATATAAGCACCAGGAAGCAGATCAGAAATGGTAACTCTCTCTCTCTATCTATCTATCTATCTATCTATCTACCTTTCTCAGTATCAGGATGAGGCTGCTTGATGAGAGAGGGCGGGAGAGAGAGAGAGAGAGGGGAAGGAAAGAGGGAAAGAAAGAACGACAAAGACAGACAGGGAGACAGACATTTATCTTCCTATATATGAACAAAAAACTATCAATTTTCATCCAGATATTTTTTCCAGAATCAACTAGACCGCCATGAGGAACGACACAAACCATGTCCGTTTTAACTTTGTATTTCCTCAAAACCTCTTCCAGATCGGAGACAAATCGGTTCACGAAAATGAAGACACTTGCAGTCCTTGCAAATGTTGCAATAGTTTTCTTTATCTTTATGTGTATATTTTTTATTCTATTTGAAAGAGTGAAACTAACAATTTTCACATTTATTCAGCACTTGAGTAAATCAAAGATGTTTCAAAGATATTCTTACAGTTCGGAAACGGTAAGGAAACAAATTCACTTCTTAATATTTAACCTTTTACTAAAAATTGGGTGTTTTGGAATTTGGATGTCATAAATAAATCTACTCTACTTGCTATTATTACCATTATCATTACCGTGTGTGTACACAAACGCGCAGGAAAGGAATAAACATCTATATCTGTTTAAGCATAAGGAAGGGAATGAATACTCACTCACTACGATGGGAATTAAGACATACAATTGATATAGATATAATGCCATTTATTCAAAATACTTGTCTTCTAAAATTATAGAAAGTTTAATCAAACCGAAGTCGTCATATCAATTTGTCACACTAAACACTTAATGCCTCTTCTGCCTTATTCATCATCCTCATCAGCCTCTGGCACAGCGTGGCGTCGAGGCGTCGGGCCAGGAGGACCCCCGAAGGACTCCCCGAAGGACTCCCCGAGGGACTCTTGGCGCAGCGCAGGACCGGGCCGAGGAGGGGACGGCGCTTGAGGAACAACTCCAGGATTCGCCGCCAGGGCCAACTCGAGGCCGAAGTGCAGTTCCAAGTTCTCGTAGGAATCGTCGGGAATGTGATTAGTGGGAATCGCTGCGGCGATTCCCACGCTCAGAGCTGCCAGGACAAGCCACCTCATGACGCCCATGACAGAAGTGACAGTCGCTCCTGACGAGAGGTTGACAGGGATCAGCTCCTTTTGTGCCGCGACGGAGGATCACTCGGGGTCCCAGGTCCTGCTCCCGGCCATTCCTGGATTCCCATTCCCCGTTTCCCGCGCGAAGGAATTGGGATCCAGGGACTGTTCTTGCTGACTCATGTTTCAATTGGCCTCATCAAGCAATGACTAAGCATATTTTATGACTGTCCCTTCTTCCCTTTCTCAATCAGTTTTCGAAAGCAATAACCAACATTTTTGCACTGAATTTCAGGAGGATTGAAAAAGTAGAAAAATCAGCAATGTATAAGCACCAGGAAGCAGATCAGAAATGGTAACTCTCTCTCTCTATCTATCTATCTATCTATCTATCTATCTACTCTCTCAGTATCAGGATGAGGCTGCTTGATGAGAGAGGGCGGGAGAGAGAGAGAGAGAGGGGAAGGAAAGAGGGAAAGAAAGAACGACAAAGACAGACAGGGAGACAGACATTTATCTTCCTATATATGAACAAAAAAAACATCAATTTTCATCCAGATATTTTTTCCAGAATCAACTAGACCGCCATGAGGAACGACACAAACCATGTCCGTTTTAAGTTTGTATTTCCTCAAAACCTCTTCCAGATCGGAGACAAATCGGTTCACGAAAAGGAAGACACTTGCAGTCCTTGCAAATGTTGCAATAGTTTTCCTTTATCTTTATGTGTATATTTTTTATTCTATTTGAAAGAGTGAAACTAACAATTTTCACATTTATTCAGCACTTGAGTAAATCAAAGATGTTTCAAAGATATTTCTTACGGTTCGGAAACGGTAATGAAACAAATTCACTTCTTAATATTTAGCCTTTTACTAAAATTGGGTGTTTTGGAATTTGGATGTCATAAAATAAATCTACTCTACTTGCTATTATTACCATTATCATTACCGTGTGTGTACACAAACGCGAGGAAAGGAATAAACATCTATATCTGTTCAAGCATAAGAAAGGAATGAATACTCACTCACTACGATGGGAATTTAAGACATACAATTGATATAATATATTGCCATTTATTCAAAATACTTGTCTTCTAAAATATAAGAAAGTTTAATCAAACCGAAGTCGTCATATCAATTTGTCACACTAAACACTTAATGCCTCTTCTGCCTTATTCATCATCTCATCAGCCTCTGGCACAGCGTGGCATCGAGGCGTCGGGCCAGGAGGACCCCCGAAGGACTCCCCGAAGGACCTCCGAGGGACTCTTGGCGCAGCGCAGGACCGGGGCCGAGGAGGGGACGGCGCTTGAGGAACAACTCCAGGATTCGCCGCAGGTGCCAACTCGAGGCCGAATTTGCAGTTCCAAGT